AGTGTCTAGACTCACAGCCTCTCGGTACACGCCACGGCCCCGGGCTAGGCCCGATGCGTCCGCTACCACGCTCCAAACATGCGCACCGTCCTGCTGCAGGTCGCCATCAAGGAGCCGTCCTCGTCGTGTACGTCGTGCTGCCGTCGCGTGTACCGAGATGCCTCGCAACCGAGGCCTCGGCCGAACGGGCAAGAAGCATAAGAAATCAGCCAACGACAACATCCACAGGCAGCCCAAGGCGACCACCGAGCCCACGGTCGCCACCGAGGCGCCGGAGCCGCCCGCCGCGCCCGACACCTCGCCGAAAATGGAGGTCGAGCCGGCAGCGCCCGACGCGCAGGCGCTCGCGACAGGTGCGGCTGCTCGGCGACGTCGAGCGTGGTGCCCGACGGCTCAGGAGCCTTCTACCATAAACCACTACCACGGCTGCCACCGTCGGCGCCTTCGCTCGAGCTCTCCGAGGCCGCGTTCTGACCTCGTGCCGCGGCTGTTGTCGCTACAGCAGCGACGAGGGCCGCGGCAAGGGGTGCAGCGGCGACGGGGGGGGGGGAGAGGCGCGGCCAGCTACCGGGTCGTTGCCCCCGCCCACCGCGCCGGGCCCCTGCACCCGGAGGCGGCTTGCGGCAGCCTTCCTGTGTCTCCGTGCGACCCGCTTGGGTAGCCGGCCATGTGTGGCCCGCTGCCGGAAAAAATCCGGGGTTTAGCTGGCGTATCTCGGGCCCACTTTAGAGCTAGGGCATGATCTTAGGTGTTCTGGATAGCCCACAAGGGTCTTCTTTGGCATGGTAGCGGTGGTTTTGCGCGAGGCGTTCATTCAAAAATCACCATTTCCCCCACTACTGCAGCTCTGCACTCCCTGACCAAGTCGCAAGTGCTCCAACGAGATTGTCTTTACACACAATATAGAAGTGATACATGTACACACCGAACTCCGTACAATAGAGGCGAACTCAACGGCACCCTCCTTCTCTACTTCCCCTCTCGTCACACGAAAATACGAAAATTGAGCCAGTGCGGCTGTTAGGTAAGCTGGCTGCTCACCGGCCTTGCGCGGTGGACGCCAACACGAGCAAGTTGAGGGAGTGGGCCCCGCCGCCGCCCTGCGGCGCATGCGGCGCTTGCGGTACCTGCGACGCCTGCGGCACCTCAGGCTGCGGCACCTGCGGCTGCGGCGGCCCCTGCGGCCCCTGCGGCCCCTGCGGCCCCTGCGGCTGCGGCGGCGCGGGCGGCGCGATGAAGACCTCGCCCAGCTCCGCCCCCTCCGGCAGCTCGACGGTGAAGCTCTGCCCCGCGCGCACGCCCGCCGGCACGAGGACATGGTACTTGCGCCCGTCGCGCAGGTGCAGCGCCAGCGCGCGAGAGGGCGGCAGCTCCCCCGGGCAGGCGAGCTGCACGCGGCTACTCCTCCCCGCGACGATGCTGCGCATGTCCTGCCAGTAGCTCTGCTCCGCGGGGACCAGCCCGTGGGGGATCGACTCACCGAGCTCCCTCTTGACCCGCGTCGCCGGCGCACCCTCCGCCGACGTGGCCGCCTGCGACCCTCCGCTCGCACGCTCGGCGGGGGCGGCGCGCGCCTCTACCCCCGCCGCCTCCGCC